GGGATGTCAAAGGGAGGAAGGAGGAGGAGGAGGAGGAGGAGGAGGAAAGGGTCTCCAAGGAAACCGGGGCCCCGAGCATCTCTCCGCCGGGGAAGATGCTCCCGTCGTCCCCTCACCCGCCCCTCTTTGGCCGCCCCTCCGTCCCCGCCTTACCTTGATGTGCTCGCCGGCGATCTCCACCGCCTTCTCCCTGAAATCCACGCCGATGGTGGCCTCGGTGTTGGCGGGGAAGGTGCCGCCGCAGAAGCGGACGGTCAGGCAGGTCTTGCCCACGTTGGAGTCGCCGATGACGATGATCTTGAAGATGCGCGCCTGGACCGACTGCTCCAGGGAGGCTTCCAGCTCCATCCCGGCGGCGGCGGCGGGTGGGGGGGGGGGGACAAGAGGAGGAGGATGCAACAGCAGCTGCAGCAGCAACAGCAGCTGCAGCAGCAGCAGCAGCAGCAGCCGCGCGGGGTGGCCAACGGGACCAGCGGGGCTCAGCAGCAGCTCCGCTGCACCGGCAACGCCAACCTGACCAGGGACGACGGCCGGCCGAGCCGCAGCCGCCCGAGCAAGCTCGCTTCGCCGGCCGGGAGCCGCCCCTGGGGCCGCTCGGCCATTGGCTGCCGGGCTTCCAGGCGGTTTCCCAGCGCCCAGCCCGGCTTAAGGCGGAGCCTACGGTGGGGGCCCGCAGCTGGGACCGGCAGGCAGGCTCGGCCCGGGGGTGGGGGCGGGCGGCTGCCTCTTGGCCGGCTCTGCCTTCCCTTCCCACCCCAGCCTCTCCGCCGGGTCTCGAACTCAGCAACCGGGCTGCTGCTTCGCTAAGCCTTAGTGTAAAGGAAGAGCCAGGCGGGGCGTTGCGCAAGCCGGGCTTTTCATTCTCTCCGGCGCTCTTGAGATGGGCGGTGGGCAGGGCTTGGGCTATTGGACCCACAAGAGCGCTTCATGCTTACAGATTTTAACAAGAGTTGGAAGGGACTTTGGAGGTCATCTAATCCAACCCCGCCCAAGCAGGAGGCCCCCCATTTCTGATAAGCAACACCAAGGCAAGGAGAGATTGGACTGCTGTATATCAGAAAATGGGGGCCTCCTGCTTGGCCGGGGGTGGGGTGGGGGATTGACTAGATGGCCTCCAAGGTCCCTTCCAAGTCTTAAATCTGCAAGCGTAAACGGCAGTCCAATCTCTTCCTGCGGTGGTGTTGCTTATCAGAAATGGGGGCCTCCTGCTTGGGCCGGGGTGGGGGTTGAACTAGATGACCTCCAAGGCCCTTTCCAAGTCTTAAATTTGTCAGCGTAAACAGCAGTCCAATATCTTCTTGCGGTGGTCTTGCTTAAAGAAGGGGAGGGGACTGCAGCTGGTTAGGGAAGGGCCATCCACCACTACGGGCCATCGTGTCCTTAAAATAAGATAAGCCTTCATTGTCATTTTTTCCCCCTGTGAGCACACATTAACAAAAAAATTCAAAAGAAACAGCAGGCAATCCTCAGATTACGACCGCGATTCAAACCCCACCTTTCTGATGACCAGCCAGATGTCGGTTAAGAGCTGGGCAGCCACTGTACCGCCTTGCTTGCCCCGGTTTGTGAAGGGGATCATGGCAGTGGTGGGTTAAGCCGGTTAACTCAGTTGTGGAGCGAATCTGGCTTGCGACCACGTTGGCTTGGCTTGTTGTAGGGTTTCAAAAGAGGATCGCGTGACCTTGAGACTCAGCAACGGTCATAAATAGGAACCCGTTGCCTAGCCTTTGAATTTTGATCCCAGGATCGTGGGGATCAGGCAAAGGTCGTAACTTTGAAAAATTGTCAGAAGTCACATTTTTCAGTGCCGTTGTAACTTTGAACTGTCACTGAACAAACTGAGAACTACCTGTATAGATCTACCCATATACATAACACACATACATGCTATGTACCTATACACACACACTCTACCTACCATCTACCTACCTACTGTATCTACTACCTACTGTATCTACTAACCTACCTACCATATCTACCTACCTACTGTATAACTACCTACCTACCTAATCCCTCCCTCCTTCCCTCCCTAAGCAAGGTAGATGCTCTGTGAGTCAGGCCAAATTTGAGCGTTTCTGCCACCGTTTTTAAGCAAACAACTGCAGTTGCTAAGCGAATCATGCAGTTAAGCAAATCAAGATTCTCACATTGACTGTTTTGTTGGAAGCAGGCTGGGAAGGTCACAAATGATGATTACGTGACCCCAGGGATGGTGCAACTGTTATCAATACATGCCAGTTGCCAAGCGCCAGACTTTTAATCATGAGGATGCTGTAATAGTCCTAAGTGTGAGGGCCTGTCATGAGTCACTTTCTTCGGTGCTGCTGTAACTTCAATTATCTAAAATGAATGGTTGTAAGTCAAGGATGACCTGTGTTGGCATAAGGGCATCAAGAGGGGAGGCTCTTAAAATCTAGGAGAGGAGAGGATGCTAGTTAGGGGTTCCCATCATCCTGCATTGAACAGGTATGAGCAGAAGTTCAACATTTGGGGGGGGCAGACTCCCCCTCCTCAGCTTTATTCGGGGAATAGGGAAAAGAGAGGTACAAAATTTTACTTAAGAGACGGCTCAGTGTCTAATAATAAAATGGAGGCATGCTTGCTTTCCTAATCGTAATTTTCAATTTTTAGGCACAGCTTTAAGAGATCTTGGCTCTGAACTGTGAGAATTGCACCATGAAAATAACACTTAGGTGATATCCCGTTAGAAGTGAACTAACACTTGATCTCTCATGTAACCCTAGGAGGAAAGAAAAATCACACTAACACGTTAAAAAATGTATTAGTTACACCTTAGAGTAGAATAACAGAGTTGGAAGGGACCTTGGAGATCTTCTAGTCCAACCCCCTGCTTAGGCAGGAAACCCTATAGCATTTCAGACAAAGCTAATATGGTGACTGGCTGCTAAATTCATATATTTTCGCCTCGTGACACACTGAAAAATTAACTTAATGTTTTGGAAAGATTCTGGAGAAATCATCGCCAAGGATTAAGAGAGGAAACGTATCATTTTGGGACCTTACTGTCTCAGTTTGGTTAATTCTCAATTCTTTGAGCTTCCTTTAGGCTTTTGGAGCTGTTTTCCTCCATTGAAACTGCATTAACCTCAGTTTTATTTTTTGAGTACAAGGGGGTTCACTTGTAAGATTTCAACCTGCAGTTTTAAAGGCCTATGTACCAACGGTTCCCGTTTTTAAGAACTTGGAATAAATGTGGTTAGGCTTGCACTGTTCGATGCTTATTTGCATGCCAATGTTTAATTACACCAGCGCCAACAAACTGCCTTCTGGAGAAAAAGCTGCTTCATCTCTTACAGCTTCCAGAATTAGCTGCTATAAAGACTTTTATAGCACCCATAAATTGAATGCACACATGTAAAAATGGCATTCCATCACTCAATAAGGCGGCAGTAGAAATCACTCTTTCTGGTTTCAGGTTTTTGTAGCCTCTTTAAATCTTCTTACAGGAGTTTCAACAGCACAACAGGAATATATCACCTCAAACTGCATCTGATTGTTGGTCTCCTTTGGCTCTTCCAAAGTGGTACATAAATCAAGCAATTAATATGGGGTTTTTAAAACTCCAGAACAGAGGAGGCAAGAGGGTGAAGTAATAACGCATGCGTAGAAAGAATAAATATCTGTGGAAACAACAAAGGATTGTGCAGTTTGTTGCAATGTGGGAAGGTTTTGGCAATGAGTGGTGAAATACAAACTCTGATATTTTCAATCTTTAACACTGTGCTTAACATAAAGTTGTTTTCCTTCAACACGGTTATTTCGAGTAGAACGTTCATTCTTTACTTAATCTTCTTAATTCCATACATCTTGAGAAGACACATATTGTCGAAATTCAAGTGAATTACACTAGAATATAAAAAAAAGATAACCCCACAAGGCGTGGAAAGCTAAAAATAACAACTCAGACATCTGAGTTAGTTGCATATTATATGAATCCTTTCCCCCCTTATTTTAGTTCACCCTGACTGCACATTTTCAGAAGTTTTAGTTCCCTGTTCTTCTCTTTTTTTAAAAAAAACCAACTTAAGAATTTGCACCGGGAGACAAGTCCCTTGTGTATCCAATGAAGTATTCTAAAAGTAGAGGTAAAGGTTTCCCTTGCACATACGTGCTAGACGTTTCCGGCTCTAGGGGGCAGTGCTCATCTCCGTTACAAAGCCGAAGAGCCAGTGCTGTCCGAAGACGTCTCTGTGGTCATGTGGCCAGCAGGACTAAACCCCAGAAGGAGCACGGAACGCTGTTACCGTCCCACCAAAGTGGTCCTTATTTTTCTACTTGCATTTTTTACATGCTTTCGAACCACTAGCTTGGCAGAAGCTGGGACAAGTAACGGGAGTTCACTCCGTTATGCGGCGCTAGGGCTTCGAACCGCCAAATTGCCGACCTTTCTGATCGACAAGCTCAGCATCTTAGCCCCTGAACCGCCAAAGAATAGAACCAAGATGGAGAACCTATGGCATGCATAGGTAGCACGGAGAGCCATTTGTGCGGGTACGCGAGCCCCAGCCAAACCTACTTGTACTGCGCATGCACGCATCTTCCAGCTGATTTTCGGCCTGTTTGAGGCCATTTTTGCTCTCCCGGGGGCTTGAAGGAAGCCTCTGGAGGCCAAAAAAAACGGGCCTTCCGGAAATACCAGAAGTGCCAAAACGGGCCCATTTTCAGCCTCCCGAGGCTTCTCTCGAGCCCCTGGGAGGACGAAAACGGTCTCAAATGGGCCGAAAATCAGCTGGGAGGTGCGCGCATGCGCAGTACAGGTAAAGGGGTGGAGGTGTTGTGCATGCATGTGCAGGAGGTGGTGGGGCGCATTGCATTGTGGGTGCGAGCACACGCGCCTTATCGGCACACCAGAACAAAAAGGTTCGCCATCGCTGGAATAGAAATATTCTATTCTATTCTGTTCTGTTCTGTTCTTCTATTATTCTATTCTATTCTATTCTATTCTATTCTATTCTTCTATTCTATTCTATTATTCTATTCTATTTTATTCTATTTGCCAGCTTCAGACTTTTCTCAAGCCTGGGAAAGAGGAGGCCAGGATCCGGCCCCAGCTTCCTGCCTTCAAAGGGGCATCTTCTGCCATGATAGCGGGGGAGGAAGTCCAAATCTTTGAGAGATCTTTCCGTAGGAGAAACGCCCAACCGTGAGAGAAGTTTGTCAGCCATGGCCGGGACCACCGGTTGCAGCAGGAGCCCGTATACCCGAAGGCATTCCAGAGCCACGTGGAGAATGGTTTCTTGCCACTCTCTCTCTGCGGGATCCTCCCGGCGTAGCTTCCACGGCCTGTGCCTCTGGACGAAGCCGTTGGTCTGCCTCACGCACTCCGTGATGGATTCCAGAGCCTTGTAGATCTGGAAGCGATCGAAAAAGGCGCTCACTGTCACAGGCAGGCTCTCGACCGACGACACCAGCTTGTAGTCCTCTGTTAGGGCCTTGCCAGATCTGTTTGGAATCTCCACATCCCTAGGGAAGCAGGTCTCGGAGAAGAGGGGGTAAGCCCCCCTGGGATTCAGGGCAGAGGCCGTGCACCTGTTCAGGAGGCCCCCTAAGGCGTCGGCCAGCTCCGAATTGAGCAGCTTAACCACCTTCTCGTCGTAGTAATCACAATCCCGCTCCGGAACCCCCTGTCTCAGCAGGAAGTACCGAAAGCCATCGACCGTGTAGTGCCGGAAGCACTCCTTTGGATCAACCACATTGCCCAGGCTCTTGGACATCTTCTGGCCTTCTGCCGTCCAATGAGAGTGGACCCAAATCCGCTGGGGGGGCTCCAGGCCTGCAGCCATCAGCAAAGCAGGCCAATAGATGGCGTGGAACTTGAGAATGTCCTTGCCCACGATGTGGCAAACGGCGGGCCACCAGGCCCCGTGCTTCTCAGGGTAACCTACCACCGTCAGGTAGTTCACCAGGGCATCCACCCAGACATAGATGGTTTGGGTCGAGTCCCCAGGGACAGGGATGCCCCAATGCAGCCGGGTTCGGTCACGGGATACAGAGAGATCCGGGAGATCCCCTTCCAGACCCTGAAGGACCTGCTGATAGTAGGGCTCGGGGGTGATGGCGCCCTTATTCTCGCACAGCCATCGTTGCAATGGCTCCTGGAACTTGGACAGCTGGAACATGTAGTTTTTCTCCCTGGTCCAGTGCACCTAAGATGCAGGAGGGAAGTTATCACAAGGTTTTCCCTGGTTTCATCAGCCTCTCCCATACAGTATATATTTATATCAGAGGTCTCCAAACTTGGCCACTTTAAGAGTTGTGGACTTCGGCAACTCCCAGAAATCTGGGACAAGTCTTAAAGTGGCCAAGTTTGGGGACTCCTGATTTATATTAATGTCTATTTTTCCTTCTTTAGAGGTGAAGGCCGCACGCATGCACCAGAAAGCTTGCCTCTCACCAAGGATCTTGTCTTCCTAGCTTCAAAAAGCTAGCAGCTCCAGCGCCTTCAGTCTGCCTTTTCACAGCTTTCTTGGGCCACATCTTTTCTTCACACTATCCCACTTTTCTATTCTGCTAATCTTTGTTTATCCGTCTGATGTAACGCCGAAGGTGTCGGCTTAGACACCAGGGGACAGTGAGTTCTAGGTCTCCCTCAGGCACGAAAGCCAACTGGGCGATTTTGAGCCCGTTTTTCTCTCAGTCCAACCTCCCTCAGATTGTTGTGGGGGGAAATAATCATCTAATAATAATATAATAATATAATAATAATAATAAAGAGACTGTAGATTATTTAGATGTGGGTTCTCCAATATAGACATGGGACATATTACCGTGTTTCTCATATAATAAGGCCGGGTCTTATTTTTTTGTGAGCCCCGAAAAAATGGCTAGGCCGTCTTTTTGGGGGTGACTTAATTCCCCCCCCCTTTGCATCTTCGGGCAGGCGGCGACAGCTTGGATGTTGACCTCGGCATTGGTGGGGCACTTCGTATCGGGGTCAATGCAGGCAGCACCATATCCGGGTGTGCAACCAAAGTACTTCCTAATGGCAAGCCCCCCCACCATTCCCCCCATTTTGCATATTTTAATATAGGCCTTAATTTGAGAGGAGGGGCTTAATTTCATTTCATGCCTATAAAACATGCTGGGACTTCCTATTGGGGGAGGCCGTATTGTTGGAGAAACAGGGTATTATTATGGACAGTTTGGTGCAGTGGTTGAAGGGCTGGCCTAGAACCCAGGAGAAAGTGAGTTCTAGTCCTGCCTTAGGCACGAAGCCAGTTTGGTGACTTTGGGCCAGTCTCTCTCTGAGCCCCACCCACCTTTGTGAGATAAATAGAAAGAGGAAGGTGCATTAGGCATGAATTACCTAAAAAGTAATACAGGCGGGAGAAACATATAATAAATAGATAAAATATTATGCTATGTGGTACTTGTGCATTATTGGCTGGCTATGTGGAGAAAGCACCACACAGAGTAACTGGATTCACACAACTCTATGACAAAACCATGTGCATGAAGGCAAAGCAAGCTGAGTAAAGGCACTAAGAGAACTTGCCAGGGTACATTGTACCATACCTGGTGCCCACTCTCTATGGAAACCATCTGCTTGCTCCCTTGGGCATCAACAGACTCTGTCACCTGAGAGGCTGCCAAAAAGCTCTCTTCCGCTGTGCAATACCACCCTTCGTAGTCAGCTTGATAGAGCCAGCCACCATCCTGCAAGGCAGCCCAGAAGCACTCCACAGCCTGCCGGTGCCGTAGTTCCGTAGTGCGGATAAAATGGGTGTAGGAGATGTCCGCCTGTGCAAAGAGCTCCCGGAATTCGGCCGATACACGGTCACAGAACTCTTCCGGAGAAATGCCGGCAGCTGCCGCTGCTGTCTGAATTTTCAAGCCATGTTCATCCGTTCCTGGCAAAGGAAACAGGACAGGTTAAGAAGCCAAGAGGCAGCCTTCCTCATCCTGGGCTGGGAGGGCTACTACTTCAAGAGTCATACCAACGAGATGAGCAGCTATATAAATTTGAATAATACATAAATGCTTTCATTCCCAGCAAGCAAGGCCAAACCTTCAAACAGCGCTCTCAGAATCTTTATAGAGGTTGCGGAAGCTTATACAATGAACAAAAAGTTTGAGACTTTCTCACACATAAATGCATGGTTTATTGAAGAAATGCTACTAACTTTATTCACATCTAATGCCATCAGCCAGGATGGAAAAACTCATCAGAAAAGTGAGGTTACTAAAAGGGATGTTTGCCAATTTTCTGAGGGGAAACAAGACACTCTGGAAAAGCAAGGTTGTTTTGTATTCTATTTAAAAAGTCATTCCCACCAGCAAAAATTCACTCCTAAAGAGATGAGTGTGAGGTAGCAAGTCCCCCCCACTATATTTCTGCTGTCCCAGATTAGTAAAAAACCAGAGATGTAATGTTAGGGCAAGGGTCTTCAAACTTGGCCAGTTTAAGACGTGCGGACTTCAATTCCCAGAATTCCTGAGCTAACATGACCGGAAGAGGAATTCTGGGAGTTGAAGTCCACACGTCTTAAACTGGCTAAGTTTGAAGACCCCTGTGTTAGGGTGTCATATATGAGTTTCCATCAACCTAGCCTTCAACTACAACAAGATTATTGCAAAGGACTGGAGCATGATAATATGCGGCCCACTTTTCTTTGCACCAATATTCATCACGCCAACACTCCAACACTGTGCATAATGTATTGTACTGCAATAATGCTAATGCAGTAGTTTTTCAACCTAGGCAATTAAGCTGAGTAGACTTCAACTCCCAGAAGTCCCCAGGCCATACATCTTAAAAGTTGGCCAGCTTGAAAAACTCCACCCAGTCCTACCTAGACCAAACGTTGCTGGAAATGCAAATAGAAAAGAAAGACGAAGGACTTGCTTCTCCGTTTATAGCGCTTTTTATGCGTCCTTGCTAGAAGGAAACCTATTTTTGAACTCGTGAAACACGCGGATTCCCTAAAGCTTCCTCCAGGTTTATCTTAGTTTCATCCAGGAGTTTCTAGCCGACTCCCTTGCTTTGCAAAACAGACTACTACTCCATTCATAGTATATCTTTTGCATCCTGGTTAGAAATAAACCTATTTTTTGGAAGCCCCCGCGCCTCCACACGTGAAAGCAAACACGCGGGGTTCCCTAAAGCTTCCTCCACGTTGATCTAAGTTTCACCCAGGAGTTCCTAGCTGACTCCCTCGCTTGCAAAGCAGACTGGCGGCTTCAAAAAACCCTTGCACAAGCCTCCGCAAACCTGTAGCCAGCCGCCCTCCCTCGCAGCCCAGCAACTCCCGATGCCGGTGCAGAGCATCAGCCAGGACGGCCGAGTAGAGATGCCCGATGTGCGGCGGCCCGTTCACATAGAAGATGGGCGTGGAGAGCAGCAGCAACCGCCGCCGGGACCCGCAAGAACTCCGCCGGAGACCGCCGCCCGGCTGCTCCGCCAAGCGCCGAAGGAACCCCGGGCGGAGAAAGCAGCGCGCGGCGCGAGCGTGGCACACCTGCATCGCCGGCATTTGCCCGGGACGGCCACGCCCCTCCTTCCCTCCTCCGGCCCCCCCCCCCCCCCCCGAGGAGCAAAGGATAGAGTGCCGGACACCTAGAGCGGCGCGCCCGCGCGCCCCCGCAAGGACAAAGCGGGCGAGCGCTGCCGCGCCTGCGCACGAGAGGGCCGTTCTTGGGAGCGGACGGAAGGACAGCCGCTGAGGAGCTCGTGAAGGGCCGCCGCTTGCCGCCGACCCCGCCGCCGTCATGTCCCGCTTGGGAGCCACCCTGCTGCGGGCGGCGGGCCCAAGGGCGCGTTTCCTGGAGGGCCCAGGTGAGCGGGGCATCGCCGTGAGGGGCGACAACCTGAAAAGGCGTCTGGGGGGCGGGGCTTATCGAGGGGGCGGGGCTTGTGCGGAAGCAGTGGAAACCCTCTCCCCCCGCATAGTCCTTTCGTCCCTAACAGTGGGGGGAGGGGTGGGATCGTCTGGACCGTGGGGGGGGGATTTCTCTTGCTTGGGGGCTTCTTTAGTGGTCCTCATTTGCTCATCCCAGCCCGCTCCCCAAAGCCCCCGCCGGGACTCCCCCACTCCCACCTCCCGAGCGAAATCCAGTGGCCGCGAGTTCCGCAGGATCCGCTAAACGCCCTGGCTGCCCGTCCGCTCGACGCCAAGGTCGCGTGACAGGTGCAGGGCGGAAGTGGGTGCCCTTAAATTTACACAGAGACATATATTAATGTAATATAATTAATATGATATAATATATAATGTTATGTTATGTTATATATTGTAATGTAATATATATTATATATAATATATTATAATATATATTATGTAATATATAATATATAATTATATATAATAATATAGTGTGTGTTATGTTATACTTTGTTTATGTTTATTATATTTATTATATTATATATTAATTAAGGTGAGTACTCCTTCTGAGGAACATTACAACAGCCCCCTTCCAATGCTTGATTAAAGAGCTATGTTTTCACTCAATTTCTGAGGATTGCGAAGAAGGGACACGAGAATGCTATCCCAGAGGAGGGGAGATGGCACCTGAAAAAAAAAAGCAGCATGTTTCTAGGACCCCATGGGTGACACTCTCTAATCAAGGGGATGAATGAAGAGCCAGGCCTATTAGATATAACTGGTGGGCAGATATTTATTGACCAAATGTATTTGCCTCCCATTTTGTGGTTCCGGCGACTCTGAGCGGCTTACATCAGGATAAAAAGTCGTACTGTACAACAATGATTGTAAATATAAAAATGAATTAAAATGACAAGCAAGCTAAAATACTTGGAGGGGGAGCTGTAGGGTGCTTCCTCTATTAGTGTATCAATTCCCCTCCAGCCAGCAGCTTTTCCTTCAGGGTCCCATGTAAGCTTGCAGAATCAAGGGAGATACTGCCACAAATGTTCTCATTTTCTGACCTGGTGCCTACCCAACCATTGTATGATGTCAACCAGTCATCTTCGGCCTACCAACTGGTTGTAATGGGAGCAGAGCCTGCTTGTGGGACACTTGGCCTTGTTTTCATCCATGCCTTATGAAAGTGCATCACTGACAATCTTCCTTCTTAATAAATTGTGTTTCCAGGCCTCTTTCAGCAATGGAAGGCTCCCTCAAAAGCACCACCCTGCAGACAAATGGCCACTTCTAGCTTTGCATGGCGGCACAACAAAACACTCTATACTGTCATAGCAACGAGCCTCTTTGGAATTGGAAATGTGTTCTATGTAAGTAGAGAAGCTTCCTTAGAACAGGAATCCAGGCTCTTCTAATATAGTGGTTACTGTCTCTTTCCCATGGGTCTCCCCCCTGGCCTCCATATGGCTTTCTCTGCAGAATCTTAAGAGGAAGCTTAAACCTAAGGAGTCCGTGGTGGGCTGAGCCTTACCCTTTCTCCTCTCATTGTTTCAATTAATTTCCTAGAAGGTCACTCGGAAGACACAGAGAAATGAAATAACGCCTTCTCGCTATCTGATGTATAAAAGTCAACCTGCAGTCCTAGATGCTGCAGAAACCAGACAGTTTCCATTTTTTAAAGAACCTGGTGTTGTACACTTTGGAAAAGTGGGTTGGATGCGGCCCTGACATCAGTAATGAGAATGCAAGGGCACTACTTCGTTATTCAGGAAGTGTTCGTTGAGGCAGAGACATTCTTAGAGAATGTCACCGATTTGAGTTTGGAAGGGTGATGGCAGGTGGCCTTTTCCTGTCCACCAAGGAAATTATATTCCCTTCATCCAACTCAATCTCAGGTTGAAACAGACTTTCAAAGGATTGCTGTAGGCTTATGGCAAGCTTCTTTATCTCAGCTCAGTTTATTTGGCCGTTGACATTCAACCTTTAGCATGCAAAACTGTTTTTAATTTGGAGATGTATGCACGGATTGGCAAACACCAAGTGAACATTACTTTGCTTTTTAAAGCTGTCCATCACAGTCTCTGCTTATCAGGCATAGGCAAGGGAATGGAGGGCGAATAGTTTTAAAGAAGTGTTCAGACAACCACACTGGAAAGTTTTCTACCTTTCAGAACATAAATTTGCCATCGGTTTGAAACAGCTTAAGAACAGTTTGCATATTTTATTTATAGAAATTACTGTGCTTTCTTCTCCGTCTGATGATGCCAGCTTATTTGTTAGAGATTAAAATACTTTTATTTCTAAAATAGAGCTTTTTTAGCTATAGCAAAATACAAACTGGGAAAAGTTGGAGTTTCCCCCCTGCCCCCTATAGTATTATGTTAAATATTACTTTTTTTGGTTGCACAGGGATATGAAATTATGAGGAGGGCTCGACAGCGCGATGTGGACCGTGCAGAGAGGTTCTCACGCATGGAGGCCCAATTGAGGGCTCATAACTATTAAGGTAGGAGTGAAGTTGTAACAAATTGGCTTTTTATAACTTGGATTTGTAGGCTTTCTACTCAGAGGAGGAACTCTTAAGTGGCCTTTTGTAGACTAAGCATGAACATTTCCATGGACTGCTGATCTCCAACAATAATAAGTAAAGGACCAATCTTGAAGTGATTCTGGAGTAATTACACCCAGGGATTTAGGGATGAAACATTTAGTGCTTTGGAGCTTTGTCATACTATATTCTCCCTTTATTGAGCTCTGTATGATCAAAGATGTCCAACACTTAGAGGCCAAGTGCCTCATCCGAATCTTTCTTTTTCTTTTTAAATAATTTTTATTAAAGTTTTACAAAAAAAAAAACCACACAAATCGTGTTTACAATTTTTGCAATTTATCGTAGCATTGGTTTTCCCCCTCTTCCCTTATTCATACTTACATATCTACATTATTTGTATTTACCTTATACTTTATTATTCCTGTTGTCTATTCAAACATACAATTTCTCCCAGACTGTATAAAATACTTCTTTTTCTTTCTCTTGTAACTCCATCATAGGCATATTCATATCTGCACAATCGATAATTTTTGTAATCAACATAGTGTCTGTGGGATTATCCTCCGATTTCCAATTTTGAGCATAGGCTAATCTCGCTGCTGTTAGAATATGTATTATAAGATATTCAATTTCTTTTTTATATTCACCTTTAGTTATTCCTAATAAAAACATTTCCGGTTTGAGTTCTATTTTTTCATTTGTTATTCTAGCCAAATTCTAATTTTGTTCCAAAATTTTTTAACTTTGGGGCACAACCACCACATATGAAAGAAGGTACCAGTTGTTGATTTACACTTCCAACATGTTGACTCATCCAAATCTTTCATCGGCAAAGTATTGTTTTCTTTCTCTGTTTTTACTCCTGTGGAAGTTCATGTAGAATTATTTAATTCCTGCATGGTATGTTACAGATTAATTTACAACCATATTTTTTGAATGTAGTATGTTTATCTTTTTTTTAATCCCACTGCCAAAACATGGGTCCCAGTTTCTACATTAAGTAAGGACCAATCTTCTCCAACCTATCACACTCTAAAAGTATTGAATGGTCGCTCTCAAATCCAGCCAAATCTAAACACTAGTAAGGATGGCACACTATTGGATTCAAAAGAATGTTGATAAACTAAATAAAGCAGTATTTTTGATTCGCACTTGAAAGAATTCCTAAAAATTATACCACTGTGATATCCAAGATAAGCATGCAGTAATTCTTGATTCTTTGTGAAATTCCTTTAGCCCTGTTTAGCCCTGGGCTAAACTCAATTGAATTACCCAGTTCAATTGGCATTAATCTCATAATTTGTTTTGGTGTACAGAGAGGTTCACTTACAAGATTTCAGACTACTAAAGAACTACATGGAAATAGTTCTGTTAAGATGAACAACAACTTTGGTCATGGTTATGATTAGACTGTTCACTATATATTTGTATGCCAATGTTTAATTATATTACCTAAGGGCAGAAAACTGCCTTCTGACTAAATTAAAAGACCTGCATCTCTTGAAACTTCCAAAATTAGCTTCTGTAAAGATTTTGGCTCTTGTATCCTTTTTTTTTTTAACCCACTAGTGAGTTTTGGTAGCTTACTTAATTTGTCCAATTCTTTTTTCCCTATCTCCCTCTGTGCAATGTTTATATATCTGAGATTTTAATAAAAGTTTGAAGAACCTGTGTGTACAAATGTCCCCTGTCAGGCAAACACTTTTTTGGGGGAAATGTTATCATTCCTTGCAAGCAAAAAATAAATAAAAAATCCAAGAGCCAAGAATTTTATAGCATTCATAAAGCTAAAAGGAACATAAGCAAAAATGCCATTTGATCAGCCAATAAGAAATCTGTAGAAATCATGTTCTCTTACTACTAGTTGCAGCTTTGTTGACTTCCTATTCTTTTTCCAGGAGCTTGACAGCACCAGAAAGCTACATCCCCCCTGGTTCTTCAAAGTGGTAAATAATTCAATTAATATGGGGATTGTAACTCCAGAATACAGAAACAGCCATGAAGATCAGTTGAACACTGCAGTCAAAGATTTGGTGGCAGTTTCCTTACTTGAAACACAAAACTTTTCACAGTGACACAGTTGTATTTTGAAGCAGTGTCAAGTAATAAAAACAGGTGGAAAGAATACAGAATCCTGTGCTATGTTACACAGCATACACATACACTGCGTTATGCTAGAAGACTTGGGAGTGATTGGGGATTTTTTCTTTTAACCTCTACATTTTGTCATCTATGAAGACAGACATGGATACATATGAATAGAAAGCACAGAAAAGCCTCTTTATCTGTACAGCAATAGAGAAAAAATGGCTACTTGGCTTTATTCCTGTTGTCAAAACAATAACTTCAGTATCTTCTTTTAGCTCCGTTGTTTCATTCATATGAAATGAATCATCACTAAGATTTTTTTTCCTCCCCAAACACCAAAGAAATAATTTTCCTGGTAATAAATGCTTGATATATTAGCAAAATATTCTCCACCTACCAGTTTCTTTGGGAGAGTAGGGAAAGGCATAAGAGGAACCATGGCAACAAAATCTGGCTGCTGCATGAAATATTTATGAATCTTGCTACCTTTGAGTGATCAGGATTAAAAAATACCAGAGGAGAATAACCTGAATCCTACAGCACTGATCTAAAACAATTGAGCATCCTGTGATAAAATCCTTGTCTTGGCAAATCAGAGGGCCAAACAGAACAATGGAGTAAATTTTCAATACATGCAACGAGTAGCTTATTTTTCTTAGTTAAAATATACCTGCTAGGTGGGGAGAGGAGAGAGCTGTGAGAAGCGGTTTATCCAGTCATAACAAAATCTACCCAGAGCTACCATACCTGGCTACAGAGCTTTTCTGGGGGAAAAAAGGGTTTACTTAAGGGACTACGCTAGGGTTGGTTTAGCCATTTTTATTGATGCAACATAACAAGATGGGGTCATAGTACATGGTAAACCATAAGCATTCGCACAACACCATAAGCCACATTCAGATCAAAGCTTAACTCAGTTTCTTCCACATTCCGATCCATTTAATCTAGATTGAGCGTTCCTTCTGCCCCCAATCAGCCCTTTCAGGGCCAAATATCAAAAGTAGACTAATCAAGGTGTTCTGAATGGATTTTCAGCAACCAGCCTTGACTTCAACAGGGCTCAAGCTGGATGATCTGAAGTCCTTCTCTGTGCAGCCAAATTCATCACCCACGCTCCCATTGCGTTGCAACTGCATTAACAACTATTTCCCATAACACCATCAAACTATTTAGTAAGACTCTATTACTATTACTATTCTCATCCTTCCTATTCCCTATCTCTTCCAATTTATAACTATAACTGTGTTGCTTGAATCTTTAGAATAGAATTCTTTATTGGCCAAGTGTGGTTGGACACGCAAGGAATTTGTCTTGGTGCAAGTACAATTTATATTGGTTTTTTTTGTTTCCTAGTATGATTTGATTGCTTATTTAGTAACCTATGACTATCATTAAGTGTTGTACCTTATGATTCTTGATGAATGTATTTAATTTTTTCTTTATGTATACTGAGAGCTTATGCACCAAAGACAAATTCCTTGTGTGTCCAATCACACTTGGCCAATAAAGAATTCTTTTCTATTCTATTTTATTCTATATTCTATTCTATTCTCTTTTATTCCTATTCTATTCTATTCTTCATTCCATTCTATTCTATTCTTCATTCCATTCTATTCTATTCTTCATTCCATTCTATTCTTCATTCTATTTCTATTCTATTCCTATTCTATTCTTCATTCCACTATTCTATTCTTTTTTTTATTTTATTCTATTTTATTTTATTCTACTCTACTCTTCATTCTATTCTATTCTATTCTATTCTATTCTATTCTATTCTATTCTATTCTATTCTATTCTATTCCATTCCATTCCATTCCATTCCATTCCATTCTATTCCATATTTTCTATTCCATTCCATTCCATTCCACCAAGTGGACCAAGGAGAAGGAAAGGCTGGCTTCTCCAGCAGATCTTTTGCATTCCTGGTTAGAAAAGATGCTATTTTTGCAAATCCCCTAACCCCCACCCCCACACGCTTACACTGGTGAAAGCAAGCAGAGATTCCCTAAAAGCTTCCTCTACCTCGATCCAAGCTTCACCCAGGAGTTTCTATCCAACCCCTTGCTTGCAAAATGACACGGGGGGCTGCAAAAAAAACACCTTGGACCCTGATGCACAAAGACCAGTACCAGCCCTCCTCCCTTGCAGCCCAGCTGGTGCTGATTGAGTTAGAGATGTGGGGCAGGTCCATTCACGCAGAAGAAGAGGCTGCTCCCAGAGACCCTGTGCGTGGATCTGCACAACCCTCCCTCCGGCTCTCTCCCCAATGCAGTGCGTATCATTTATTTTTTATTCAATAAATATTTTGAATAGGGTGTATTGTCAGGGCATATCATTTGCAGAAAAGCAAAGAAAGAACAAAAAGATGTATTAACATAAAGGCTAATACCAATTGCAATCGTGTAACAGAATAGTTTCAACTACATTTATTTATATTAGCTCTTTATATTAACTTATTTATACTGACATATTTATCATTATAAACCAGAGGTCTCCAAACTTGGCAAGTTTAAGGCTTGTGGACTTCAACTCCCAGAATTCTCCAGCCAGCAAGACCTCTGTTATAAACCATCTTTATATTCAGTTCATAGTAGCAATAATCTTCATTTAATTTCCACCTCTCCTCTCTAACCTCTCGTAAAACCTATTCCATGTTAAGTAATATTCTAGTTCTTCTTTGTCCTTTATTTTTAATGTCAATCTATCTACCTCCGCCCAGTCTTCACATTTCTAGAATTACAAAACCCGGCTGTAGCCCGAAGCCAGCCACGCCCCCTTCCCCACTCACTTCCCCCCACCTCCCCACAGGCATAGAGTACGAATGCCTAGAAAGGCGGGCTGGGTCCGGCTTTCCAGCATGGCGTCGAGCGCGCGCAAGGGCAGGCATCGGCGCGCCTGCGCAGAAAGGAGGGGGGGGGGGAAACACGGTTCTTCCATAAGGGACGGTGACCGGGAGTCCCGTCCGCGCCCCGCAGGTCGTCATGTTCCGCTACCGTCTAGCCGCGCGAGCGGCTCAGGGCCTCGGGCGGAGGTCGTGTTTTGTGGCGGGGCCAGGTGAGAGGAGCTTTCGCTGGGAGCGGTGGCGGCGGGTCGGACGGAGGGGTGCAGAACCCGTGGAAACCCCCTCCCCTTACACCCGCTCCCCTCATCCTGCCCTCCCCTCAGTGGGGCTCATCGGGGGTAGGGTGGGCTGGGGTCTGTCTCTTGCCGCCCCCCCTTCTTTAAGTGGCCCCTCATTTGCTCCTCAAAGCCCCCTCCCTCCCTCGCCCCGCAGGTACAACCCCCCCTCCCGAGGGAAATCCAGTGGCCGCGAGTTCCGCAGGACCCGCTGAACGGGCCAAGGTCGTTCTGACAGGCATAGGAAGGAAATGGGTGCAGCTTCTGCTCGAGGGGAGGAAGCTGCTTTGGGCCGGAGAAGGGGGGGGGGAATTGAGCAGCCCCAAAGGGCGCCAGGTTGGAGGAGCCTCCTTGCATGACCTGGTGGGGAGTGGGGTGGTTGGGGAGGAATATCAGGTGAATCTCCCGATCTGGCTTTGCCCTGAAGCTGGGCTGTTTGCTAGAATCGCCCAGGCAGAAATGCATGGCTAAATCTCTATGGAGGTTGTCAATCACCCAGGTTGTCAATCACCCAGGACATGGTGGTCCGCCAAAGGTGTTTTTCCAAATGGCAACTGGACTTTCTTTGGGTTCCCCTCTCCCCTTTGGAAACGTTTTGGCTTCTCCAAGAGCTAAAGAAGCTTCTTTAGTTGAGTTGAGTTTCTAGTTTAGTTTCTAGTTTAATTTATAGTTTAGTTTAGTTTCTAGTTTAGTTTCTAGTTTAGTTGAGTTTACTTTATAGTTTAGTTTATAGTTTAATTTATAGTTTAGTTTCTAGTTTAGTTGAGTTTACTTTATAGTTTAATTTATAGTTTAGTTTCTAGTTTAGTTTAGTTTCTAGTTTAGTTGAGTTTACTTTATAGTTTAGTTTATAGTTTAATTTATAGTTTAGTTTATAGTTTAGTTTAGTTTCTAGTTTAGTTTCTAGTTTAGTTGAGTTTACTTTATAGTTTAGTTTATAGTTTAATTTATAGTTAGTTTATAGTTTAGTTTATAGTTTAGTTTATAGTTTAGTTGAGTTTAGTTTAGTTTATAGTTTAGTTTATAGTTTAATTTATAGTTTAGTTTATAGTTTAGTTTATAGTTTAGTTTATAGTTTAGTTGAGTTTAGTTTATAGTTTAGTTTATAGTTTAGTTTATAGTTTAATTTAGTTTAGTTAGTTTCGCTTTAGTTTACCATGGATTTCAGTCCCAAAAAGTGCTTCTCTGAAAGGCAAATGGTCTTTCTTTGGGTTTTTTTTCCTCCTTGAAAACATTTCTGCTTCTCCTCCAAGAAGTTTCTTTAGTTCAACTAGAACTTCACATGCAGCTGTATTGAATTTTACTGTACAGTGCAATATTAATGCAATATCAGGGGTTTTCAATTCAATTGTACAGAATGCGAAGGAGGTGTGTTTGTGTTTTATTTTTATAGTTATAATGTACACTGAAGATGGCATTTATTTTCGTTGTACGAGGTGCAATGACAAGTAAAGTAAACCAAGAAGCTTTTCAGCTCTGTGACGTTCTAGTTGAACTAAAGAAGCTTCTTGGAAGAGAAGCAAAATGCTTTCAAGGAGAAAAAGCCTGCTCGCCTTTTAGAAAAGCACCTTTGGGATAGAAATCAGTGGGTTTCTTAAACAAACAAAAGGGAAAAAAACTTCCAGTTTTTCCTCTGCCTTGTCTTTGCAAAATGCCACTTTTCCACTGCAGAGAAGCCCAAACTTTCCCCAAAGTTTCAGAACAGGGCTTGTAAAGAGACAATGAAGCTGTCTGTCATTGCAGTTTTTTTTTTTTTTTGGAAACTTGGCTTATTCCTCAAAGGCTTTCATTGGTATTCGTGAGTTGTATACATGTGATCCTTGACTTACAACAGTTCATTTGTTGTGACCGAAGTCACAATAGCACTGGAAAAAAAGTGACTTAGGGCCGTTTTTCACACTTGGGACCGTTGCAGCATTCCCACGGTCACCTGATTTACATTCACACGCTTGACAATGGACTCACATTTATGACCGTTAGAGTGTCCCGAGGTCACGTGATCCCCTTTTGCGACCTGACGGGCAAAGTCAATGGGGAAACTGGGTTCACTTAACAACCATGTTGCTAATTTAAGAACTGCAGTGATTCGTTTAACAAAAATAGAAAATTCATAAAACGGGGCAAAACTCACTTTAGCAAATTCCTCACTTAACAACATAAATTTTGAGGTCAATTGTGGTCATAAGTTGAGGACTTCCTGCATTCTATCAATGCTTGTTCTCCTTGGTTATACTGGGCTTCTTGAATTAAGTCTCAGTGCATAGTGTTGCACAAGTGCGGTCTGTCTATGGGTGTTTAGATTTTACAGGTTAGAACTATTTTCTCCCAGATCAATGTGTCTGCCAAATGTCACCAATTGAGAAAGAAATGGATAAAACTTAATTATTGCATATAAAATTATCCTGATCTTATTTCAATTATTTGCCCTCCATGTCTTATATGGAACAATTTATAATAAAGTTGTTACTTTATTATAAACTACTAAGTCATAATTGTTATTCAGCAAGAAATGGGTGAAATGTGGCATTTAAGACACTATTAAAGAAGCCACATTAAAATAATTAACAAGAGAATCAAAAGCCTCTCCTGTCTAAATTCTATTTCATTAGAACTGTGAACTTGGATCGGAGATTATCATGCATTTCCTTGAATAGTTGTTTAACACACCTCATGCACATTCCTTTGCCTCTTGCAGGCAACCCAAAAGAATTAAAGTTCTTTTTTCTGTTTTTAATTTAGCATAATAGACCAGTTAAGATAAACATTGTAAACTCTAACCATGTGAAAGATAAGGGGGAGAGAGCATGAATCTGAGGTTTTGCTATGGCATGTTCCCGCTTACACATGGCACCCTGGGAACTGTAGCTTAAGCAATCTTGGCCCTCTGGCATGAGACCATCTGTTTCATAAGATATTTAATGACTTAATAGATGGTCAAATTAATCAGAAGAGAACGAAAATGGATGCATGAGTTCTATTCTGACCATCTGTTTCTGAGAAGAGGGCTATATCGTGTGGGCCCATGTTTGAGACCAACTTTAAGGGGTGTCCACTACTTTAAGACTTGTGGACTTCAACTCCTAGTATTCCGCAGCCAGCTTGCTGGATGTTGTGATGTCAATCACTGTCATCTTTGGCCAGTCAACTGGTTGTCATGGGAGGAAAGCCTTCTTGTGGGAGGGTTGGCCTTCTTTTCATCCATAATTTATGAAAGTGCATCACTGACAATCTTCCTAATAAATTGTGGTTCCAGGCCTCTTCCAGCGATGGAAGATTCCCTCAGAAAGACAGCCCTGCAGGCAAATGACGACCTCAAATTATTCATGGAAGCACAACAAAACACTCTATACCTCCGTGGCGTTGGGCATCTTCGCAATTGGAAATGCGTTCTATGTAAGTAGACCCTGGATGACCGAAAAAAGGAACCCAATCTAACAAGGTGGCCCTCCTAGCCTGTATTCTGGCATCCCATGGTTTTTTCCCCCCTGAAGTTAAAAATATTGAGGACAGAAATTGGGATGATTAGGGGAAAACATAATTCTGCTGCCATATCCCAAATGGGCAGAGCGGTGGCTCAGTGGTTAAGATGCTGGGCATGTCAGCTGGAAATCCGGCAGCCCAGGTTCGAGACCCAAGTGCCATGTGACAGGGTAAGCTCCCATCTTCACCTCAGCTCCTGCCATTCTAGCAGTTCGAAAGCATGCAAGCGCAAGTAGATAAACAGGTATCACTTTGGTGGGAAGGTAACACTACTCCATGACATCATGCTGTCCACATGAATGTGGAAATGTCTTCGGACAGCGCTGGCTCAGTGGCCTTGAAACAGAGATGAACTAAGTGCCTCTCACCGTCTCAACCACTCACTGTGTCCTAAGATCACAGCATGAATTTCTTCACTTCCACAAAACTTTTTTGATTCTGGTTTTATGGACCTGGGTCCTGCAAATCAATAGTTAACTGATGTCCAATTTAGCTATTCACGAAAGAAGCTCTCAGCTTCAACAACAGTTTTAGGAAAGGCTTCCCAGCTGCTGCTCTAGCCACTGGAATAGTAAGCTAAGCTATAGCAAAATGCAAAGTTGTGTGAGTGGGGGAATGGTGCTCCCCCTGTGCCCCTGTAGGGTTGTGAAAAACGTGCCCTTTTCGTTCTACAGGCCTACGTGATTTTGAAGAGGGCTCGACAACGAGATGTAGACCGTGCAGAGAGGAACGAGCGCATGGCTAGCCAGATGAAATCCCTTTCAGGTAGGAGCCAAGTTGTAGCAGATTGGCTTTTATAGCTAGGTTCTGTAGGTTTTCTGTTTGAAAGGAAGAATTTGAAGTGGGTTTTTAGCACTTGAGGACACACAAAATTTCCATGGGAATCTAAGGTAGCCTTAGTTGTCCATAAACATAGGTTCAGAAACTGGAGCAATAGACTCTGATTAGACCAACTGGAAGATCAGAGATGACAACTTTTTGAAGACAACATTATTACCCTTAAATAGTAAACACAGCAACAATAGCAATAGCCCTGAGACTTATATACCACTTTACAGTGCTTTACAGCCCTCTCTAAACGGTTTACAGTCAGCATATTATCCCCAACTACCTGGGTCCTTATTTTACCCACCTCGGAAGGATGGGAGGCAGAATCACTCTTGAGCCTGGTGAGATTTGAACTGATGGCAGTGGATAGAATTAACCTGCAATCCTGCATTCTAACCACTGGGAGGGAGGGAGGGAGGGAGGGAGGGAGGGAGGGAAGGAAGGAAGGAAGGAAGGAAGGAAGGGCGATAGCACCTAGACATAAACCACTTTACAGTGCTTTACAGCCCTCTCTAAGCACTTTACAGAGTCAGCATATTGCCCCAACAATCTGGGTCCTGATTTTATCAACCTCAGAAGGTTTGAAAGCTGAGTCAACCTTGAGCTGGTGAGAATCGAACTCCTAGCAGTGGGCAAAGTCAACCTGCAAGACTGCATTCAAGCCATCAAAATAAAAGAGGACTAGAAAAATATTGAAGACGTGGACACTGTATTTACTCGCAGCCCGAGAAAGAATACGAGACAAAAGTTTCGGACATGGTGGTGCAGTTCATCTCAATGCAGTCATCGAGGCTGATTTCCCATTATTTATTAAATTTCTGTGTCACCCATCTCACTACCGAGCGACTCTGGGAGGCTCATGGAATGAAGGAAACTAGCGGAGAGAAACTTCATGTCAGGAAGGGAAATGAAATAAACTACCACCATATTAGGACTCAGCACTTATTAGCTGCACCAGACAACTGTAAATAACAAGCACATTGCATGTTCTGTGACATAAAATTGTACCCTGTGGTCCTGTACTTGATATCCTGCCAGACTCTTTATCTTCTTTCTTTTTAGAAGGAGATTCTTCCTCCCAAGGCACTAAAGGTAAGCAAGAGTTCTTAAAAGCAAGATATGGTTTGTCCCACCACCAACCCCACTTAAATTTAGCCTTTTCCTCCTATAACACCTGGCGACAACAAAACAATTCTTTTTCCACTCCAGTGAAGAGTCACACAGCAAAAGCGGACATAAAAAACTAGTGCAACTGGGGATTATTACATTTTGCTTCTGCAGAGTTGATAGCTGATCATTTTGGTCGACTTTGGACCCTTTGGGGAACTTGGGAAATGCTTAATACTGCACAAGACCATTGGCCCTCGTAGCTTAACTGTAGATCATATAAATTGATCCACAAGACTTGGCTTTGATTCCTTCAGAGTCCCTTTAAAAGTTGTTAATAAACTGTGAGAATGTCATCAAAAGATAGAATCATACCCTTATGACTGAATATGTACGTATGTGTGTGTCTATATGAAACAGACATCCTGCGATCTCTGGAACTAAAAATTACATTTACTAAGCTTTCGTCAGCCTTTGCTGACATCGTCAGAGTATTAAGTTACCATTACAGAGATCTCTGCCTTTTTATATTATTAATCAATTTAGCCCTTACAAGGCCCTTCCAACCACCTCCCATCTGTAATTTTAACTTTTTTGTTTCAGTCATGTTAGTCAAAGGAGGCTTATCTTTTGTGGTTGGTTCCTCCCTTGTCAGACCCAGCGCACACATCCATCTCTCTCTCTCTCTCTCTCTCTCTCTCTCCCCCTCTCCCTCTCCCTCTCCCTCTCCCTCTCCCTCCCTCCCTCCCTCGGATAAATCACTGTTTTAATGAACTATTTGAAGGGAAGAGATTCTCTTTGTCCAATGTCGGTTAAATCCAAGGGCATTTTTGTAGACATGGAGAAAGTCCGACTGCAGTTTTGTGCATATTGCATTACATATTTTGTGCATATATGTTGAGCCACTTGCCTGCCTGCCTGCCTCTCATCTTAACCTGGGTTTTGCCACTGTTGTTGGCCAATTACTCAGTGGCCGGTCATGCCACTGAGCCAGGAAGCAGAAATCTCAGCTGAATGAACTCTTCCCATTATTTCAGAGATGTCTAGCCACACATTTCATTCTTTGCGTCCAAAGTCTGTTGAAGTGAGGTCTGTTAATTTAAGCATTCACAGGTAGACCTCGACGTATGACCACAATTGAGCCCAAAATGTCTGTTACTAAGCGAGAAATTTGTGAAAGAGTTCTGCCCCGTTTTTTTTTTTACAACTTCTTGCTGCCCTTGTTAAGCGAATCCCTGCTGCTGTTAAGTTCGGGAAACAGTCGTTAAGTGAATCTGGCTTCCCCATTGACTTTCCTCACATGACCCCTAGATACCCTAACCATCATAAATATGAGTCAGTTGTCAAGCATCCCGTTATAAATCACTTGACCATGTGGGGAGGCTGCAGTGGCGGTCATAAATGTAAAAAACGGTCGTAAGTTCACTTTGTTTCAGTGCCGTTGTAACTTTGGTCACTAAATGAACTGTTGCAAGTCGAGGACCAGCTCTACTACATTTTAATGTTGATGGACCATAAATTTGAATTGAGTTTAAACTTGATACTGGGGTCAGGGGATTATTGGTCCTGGCCTTGTTCTGTTTTGCTCCTCACACTCGAGGGCAACTCCAGACTCTTAAAAGTTGTCCGTGCTTCTCTTGTGGCAGCGCAACAGATTTTGCTTTTTGCAAAGCTTTTTCCGAGCCCTGCTAGGACACCCCGGGGATCCAACCTGCCTGCAAAAGGTTGCCAGTGTTGTGCTGGATCGTTCTCCAGGAAGTGCTGAAATCAGGTTTAGTTGCCAACCCAAATCTGTTGCAATACTTGTTCTTTCCCTCGGATTGCAAAAGACCCTAAAAAAATGTGTGTGCAATGCAGGTGGACTTAGGGATGCGGTTCTTGATGCAGGGAGAACCAGAGCATTAAAGGAGAATATTTGTAGCTCAGGGTTGAGAGGAGGGGTCCTTGGTGGTTTTCTTGCAGACGGTTCCTTAACCCAAACTAGGTTACCTCAACAGTGCTAGAAGGGAGGAGGGTTTGCACTGATGAAGTTGCCTAGTTTGGGTAAGTGGAAAAAAAAAACCAACCTCAAGAACACTAAGGGGTCCTCAAAACAAAAGCAACTGTAGCTGCTTCCGAAAAAGGAATTCACAGGTAGCAGGAAGACGAGAATAAGGCTAAGAACTCCTGCATTTCAGCTTGCTTTCTTTCTTTCTTTCTTTCTTTCTTTCTTTCTTTCTTTCTTTCTTTCTTTCTTTCTTTCTTTCTTTCTTTCTTTCTTTCTTTCCTTCCTTCCTTCCTTCCTTCCTTCCTTCCTTCCTTCCTTCCTGTTTCTCTTTCTCTCTCCCTTTCTTTCTTCCTCCCTCCCTCTTTCTTTCTTCTTCCTTCCTTCCTTTCTCTTTCTTTCTCTTTTTCCCCCTCCGTCCCTCCCTCCCTTTCTTTTTCTTTCTCCCTCCCTCCCTCCTTCCTTCCTTCCTTCCTTTCTCTTTCTTTTTCTCTTTCTCTCCCTCTTTCTTCCTCCCTCCCTCTTTCTTTCTTCTTCCTTCCTTCCTTTCTCTTTTTCCCCCTCCCTCCCTCCCTCCCTCCCTTTCTTTTTCTTTCTCCCTCCCTCCCTCCTTCCTTCCTCCCTCCCTCCCTCCCTCCCTTCCTTCGGAACTAAGTTTTGTTCATGATATTTTTATTACTTCCTGCAGCCGCACCGGCAGGTCCTCGTCCAGAAGTCCCGCCCCACGTTCCTTTCCTGCTGATCGGGGGAGGCACCACCGCATTTGCTGCTGCCAGATCCATCCGGGCTCGAGATCCTGCAGCTCGTGTAAGCACCCCGAATGTCTCACTCTTACTTGGCGGCTTTTTCTGGGGCCTGTTGAGGTGTTGAATGTTGTGTGTTCCTGTGTTCCCACCCCCCAGGTGTTAATTGTGTCTGAAGACCCTGAGCTTCCCTACATGCGCCCTCCTCTCTCCAAGGAGCTTTGGTTTTCGGAAGATGCGGATGTGACGGAAACTCTGCGGTTCAAGCAATGGAATGGCAAGGAGCGGAGGTGGGCTCTGGGCTTTTCCCTCCCCTTTCAATCCGAAATGATAGAGGCAGTCCTCGACTTATAACCATTTGTTTAGTGACCGAAGTTACGGGAAAAGTGAATATGATCATTTTTCACACGTATGACCATTGCAGTATCTCCACAGTCATGTGTGATGACCCAAAGGGTGTGGCACAAAGGCAACCCAAGTCAGATAATCGGTAGGAATCCCTTTATTAGCTCCAACTTTGCCCCCAATGTCCTGATTACCTTCTGGGCTAGAGAAAAACTCTCCCAGGAACAGCCTTTGGCTGCAGAGAATTAAGTCCAAAACGTGGTCAACAAAAGCTGTAACTATAAGTCCAATCAAGGCAAAATGAGGCAATTAGTTTGGCAGGGCAGGAGCAAGAATTCCAGATGTGAAAGGCATGGCAATAACTCAACACTGTTGGGAGGATGCCAGGAACGCAGATAACCAAAGTCAACACAAGATAAACTCATGTTTGCTCCCAGCAGCTGCCGCAGTCAACATTCAGTTCTTATAAAAACTCATTCCCAGGTGTGCCTTATGAAGGGAATCAGGGCCCTTTCCTCCCCCATAAGCCATGCAACTCACGTTGCTCTCTTCTCCGTTCCTCTCTGCGTGTCCTAGGATGAAGAGGGGTTGGGCCTGGGTCTTCCTCTGAACTCCCTTGTTCTACCTCTCCCCTGCTCTGTCCAGCTGGACTTTGCCCTTGCCCAGTTTCCTCCACAGCCAATAGAGCCACACTTGCACTTCCTGTCAGCTGCTCATCTTCCTCCTCAGATTTAGACTCTGACAGGGGCATGACACCAGTGTGATCCAAATCCAGACACTTGGCATCTGACTCCTATTTATGAATGGTTGTGCCGTCCCAGGGTCATGTGATCCCCTTTTGTGACCTTCTGACAAGCAAAGTCGATGCGGAAGCCAGATTCACGTAACAACCATGCAGGTGTTTTGTCCTAGGCCTCCCCAAAAAGCACTAAGCCAACTCTGAGTCCCGGCAAAGCTTCTTTTTATTAAATGAATGTGAATTTATTGCATTCACATTCAGCCAACGGCCTGGCAAACAGTCTTGCAAAGGTATAATTATTAGCTCAGACCTTATCTAACTTGGAAAGCTGCCCGGTAAATATTTCCACGCTTAGTGCTGACAGGGAAGGGCTGGGTGCACAGTCTCTAGGTTACACAGTCAGATCTTCATGAGGCTGGAACGAACGAATTGTTTCCTGCAAAAGGCCCCTCCCCTTTCTCTCCTTTTTTTAATCCTGATAGGAAGGGGCCATTCATCGTCCACCTGTGGCCGGAGTTCTTAATTGTTCCTTCCTTTTGGCAGCTCTGCGCATGCGCAGGCTGGGAACCGGTTCCAGAAGCTCTCCTGCCTCACTGCTGTCCGAGCCTGAAGGCAGCTGATGACTGCCAGCCTGCCCTGGCCCCACCTCTGCCTCTGATGCAGAGCCCTCATCTGAGCCTTCCTCAGCCTCCAGGAATGGCCCAGGTTCCTCCCCAACCTCCTCATTACTGTCTGACTCTGCTGCCAGCTCCGCCAGCCAGAACAGCAGGAAAAGTTGTAAAATGGGACAAAAACTCCTTAGCTGTCTTACTTAGCAATGGATAATTTGCATTCAGTTGTTGTTAGTGGAGGACTGCCACAGTAGTTGTGGGATGCCCAAGTTTAAAGCCTTTATCCAGGAACCCACAGAGAACCCACAGAGAAGCCATGGCTGCGTCTCGAGAAGTACTCCTCTGCTTCACAGAAAAAAATAAATAAATCCTGGCACTTCCTCACAAAGTCTTCGTTTTCTTCCTCTTAACTCACCTTCCTTCTTTGTAGAGTTGTAATTGCAGGAAGGTCATTATCTTGATGGCAAACCTCAGATAAGGACAAAAGCAAATCCAACGCAGACAAACAAAATCACTAATGCAAAGAAGGATTAGAGAGAGGAAGTAAACGTGTTAGACTTTAACTAGAGATAATTAAATTGTGTTAATTACTATGCTAGACAGTAACCAAGGCTGATCAACAACCAAAGTTAACCAATGTTAGAGGATTACTAGAAATGTGTATAAATACAAGACTAGACTCCAATAAAGTCATCATGATTCATTTGATCATGGTCAAACACCTCGACTGCCTCATCATTGCAACACTTCTTCTCTTCTCCCTGCAGCGTGTACTTTCAGCCCCCTTCTTTCTACATATCCCCTCGCGACCTGATGTTTGTAGAGAATGGTGGCGTAGCCGTCCTCAGCGGAAGGAAGGTGAGTGGAACAAGGATCAGACCTTGGTTTGCAGCCCATTTTTACTCTGTCCCGTTCATTTTTCTTTCTGCAGGCAAGGGCAGCCAAAACATTCAAAGTGTACCATAAATTCGAAACATAAATACTTCCTGGCCATCCCTAGTAACACGACTCTTCTAGGACAATTGTTCTGGTTTGGTGAAAAGGAGCACAGATGGCACAAAACCAAAATTCCTTGAGCGAGCCGCGGTGGCCCAGCGCTGAACCATGAACTATTCTGTATAAATCTCAGTAGCTGAGTTCACCCAAGACTTTCAGATAAAAGCTAACCCAGTTCCGTTACAGCTGTGCGTGAGTGCAACTTTGCCCGCATACACTTTTTGACAGAGGTGGGGTCGATGCTCTTTATAGCTTTGGCTCGGATGCCTAGATTTCTTGGACCAGTCCCGGTTACCAGTCTGATGGTGACCTTCTACCTCTGCACCATAGAGAATATCTTAATCCTGCACCTCTGTATGGTTTGCCAATTGCATAGGGGCAAATAGGAAAGCGCTCTAGAGGGTTAATGTCCAGAAGATCCTGGGTTGCCCTCTCCCCTCTTTGGAAGAGCTTCATAGCTCCCGCTGACTTAAGAAAGTTTAAAACATCCTCAAAGATCCATCTCACCCTGGGCACCCTTTTTTTGAATTGTTACCATCTAGCAGATGGTACAGAATAATAAAAGCAAGGACAAATAGGCTGAAAAACAGCTTCTATCCCAGGGCAGTAACTCTACTGAATTATGCTGTATAGGGCAACACTAATGCAGTATCAGGGGTTTTCAGTTCAGTTGTACAGAATGCGAAGGATGTGTGTTTGTGTTTATTTTCATAGTCATAATGTACACCGAAGATGGTATTTAATTTCGTTGAATGAGGTGCAATGACAAGTAAACTAAAACTAAACCCAAACCAAACTAGGGATGAGCTCTGTTTCTGCTCCAGAGATGTGAAGAATCATTCTGAACACAGAGAAAAAGCAACCTTGTTTGACTTGCAGGTGGTCCACATGGATGTCCGAGGCAACACGGTGAAACTTGACAATGGCCTGCAGATTGCCTACGACAAATGCTTAATTGCTACAGGTGAGGGCCTGCTAGGTTGACTTTATGATCATGGGGGTTTGCGAGGGGCATAACTTGGAGACGGAAGTCACTTTTCCGGAAACCGTCATCACTTTGAAACATCCTGAATGGATCGTAAGGCGAAGACTGTCTGTAGTTACATCGGCGGGATGACATCGTTGTGTATTGGTTTCACTGCCGTTGGCTACAGACCCTCTTGGGTGATGGCCTGAAGAGCTTTGACCTGAAGTCCTCATGTGAGCTTATTCTACCTTCTCTCCTTAGGTGGTTCTCCAAGGAGCCTTCCTGTGCTTGAGAGGGGAGGTCAAGAGGTGCAAAAGAGGCTCACGCTCTTCAGGAAGGTAATCTGAGGAAGGTTGGGCTCCTCTACCTCTTAATTTGAAAAGTGTGCAATGAGCAGAGTTTTAGATTTATTTATTTTTTAAAAATGCATTAAAATTTCATTGATTCTATTTCATTTGTATGTTACTTGGCTGGTCTCTGTATTTCCATGAGCAGAAAGAGAAAAAAAAATACACTACAGCTATTCTATGAAATGTTCAACCAAAACTTGGGATAAGGAGCAGATTTTTCGGAGATCTCAGTGGGTCTAAGAAGGCAGATTTGTTTCTTTCACCTGTCCCGTGGCATGTTTCTGGTCTGACTTTAAAAAAAAAAAAAAGAGAGAGAGATAGGAATTTTATTAAACCTGATGATGAAAAAGAAAAACTAATACAAACTCGCACAATTTCATTGCAGATTGAGGATTTCCGTTCACTAGAGAAAATTTCCAGAGAAGTCAAATCAATCACCATTATTGGTGGTGGTTTCCTAGGGAGTGAGTTGGCCTGTGCTTTGGGGCGAAAAGGTGAGTGTGGCCACCCAGAAAGAGCAGCTGTAAGTGGCTCTTATGTTTTTTTAATTAAGGTATTGGAACCAGTAACTTCAAATGTATCTAAATCCTTGTTTTCCTTACGAAATTTCAACGCATATATCACTAAGAACATCTATTATCTTAATGAAGACAGCTCTTCTTGTTTTCTATGACCTATCAATAATAATAATAATAATAATAATAATAATAATAATAATATGTGTTATTCCAATTGTGATTGGAGCCCTTGGGGCAATACCTAAAGGGCTACCTCGCTATTTGGAAATCCTGAATTTATCAGAGTTGAATACCCTGATTCTGCAAAAAACCACCCTACTTGGAACAGCCTATATCCTCCGACGCTACCTGAACAGTTCCTAGGTCCTTGGTTAGGACTCAAGATGTTGAGCTAGCAACCAGCCCCAAAGGCTGTGAATCTCACTAAAGATTAACCAGTAATAATAACAACAACAACAACAACAACAACCAGAACAGCAAAATACTGCGCTACTCGGAACATCGTATATTTTAAGAAAATACTTGGTTGATACCTAGGATGCTGGCAGCAACCCATCAGTGCCAGTTAATAATATTCGTGATATATTTTTAAATGTTCAGTTGACTGCATTTCATGTTTACTGAATAATGTATATAATTAATAATAAAAATCTGGAAAAGAACTGGAAAAAAGTCACGAAATATCGCGACCTGACCATTGAAACTACACGATTATGGATGAAATATGTAACAGTGATACCCATTGTCATCGGGGCACTTTTACCATGTCCAAGAATTTTACAATGCTGCCCTGTGTGCTGTGCCTTTTGATTTTCTCTCTCCTGAATTTTGGCTTAGTTCTAGACGTTTTAAAAAATTACCTGACACAACGTGGCATTTCTTCAGATACTGAATTCCTACTCCCGTGTATTTTTGGTACTCGGGTATTAACCCAGCGAAATAAACCAAATTATTTTATTTTTATTGCAGCCTGGCACATTAGTTTTCTTGGATGCCAAAGAAACAGCAATACCCTCTGGTAGCTGGCTGGCTTTATAAACCCTCTGTTTCCAAACCATTCAGCCCAGATTCATTGGTGTTGCTGCTCATTGGCCTTGTGCCTGGTCTTCATTTAGTGTGTGTGTGTGTATTGTCCATGTGTTTAAATATTTGCACTTGATCTTCAGGTTTTTTTTTTTTCACTTCGAGGCAGCTAGCAATAAGCAGACAAGAAAAAAAAAAGACACTATAGCTGCGTCAAATCAAATGAGAGGAAAGAAAAACGCAACAACAAAGCCAAAACAAAGGCTCAGCAATAAAGTAAAAAAAAAAAAATAGGCATATTGTCTGCACCTTTTCTGCCAAAGCATGTCAAGCATCCTCCAGATGTCTTCAAATGGTATAATTCAGTCTAGGCATCCACAGCCAGAAGGGCTTTTTCCTGGTTACTTTCTGCCTAGTAAGAAAACGGGAGTGAAGCTGTTCATGGCCATGTGGTAAAAGAGACACGTTTGCAGGGCCCACAGAAACCCCCCCGATGCCCAAATTCCAGACTGAACGAATCACTCCCAGAAAAAAACCAAGTAGGCAACCTAATCTCTGCCCTTCCCTTTGCAGCGCAGTCGAAGGGCCTTGAGGTCATCCAAATGTTCCCAGAGAATGGCAATATGGGCAGAGTCCTTCCTGAATACCTGAGCAACTGGACCACCAACAAAGTTAAGCAAGGTGAGACTGCCAATTGCTTTCTTTTCCACCACTGTTCCTAGTGCTGCTGGAGGCTTAGGGGGTGGAGTCTGGGCAACTGAATGTAGCTGAGTGTTTACTGGCCGGATGCCTTTCCTGTCACCAATGCGAAGTTATATTCAGTAGAGATATTCTCATTGTGCCCCGAGAGAGAAATACCTGCCCCTACCTAGGATCGAACTCACAGTCTCCTGATTGTGAGGCGAGAGCTCCACCTCTAGGCCACCGCACCAGTCCACTCTAGGATAAACCACAAGGCTGTGTGTAAAATACATTCTGTGTTTTCTTGGCACAGACAGCTTAATGTTTTCTAAGGGAAATAATCACTGCACCGAGATGCCAAGCCTAAAAGTTGGGCTCTGCCCACATTGATGTCATTGTTCTGACCAAGGCTTCGTTCCAATTAAGAAAACACAAGCTGTGTGTAAAAGCAAACCTTTTTAAATGTGACGTTGGGAATTATTTGCCTTCCCAGCCAAAAACTCATTAAACACAATCGCCCGAGATAAGAGCAGGCCTTTCAGGGGTTGTAAAAGGCTGCCGAGAAACAGACGTCCACTTAATTAGCAGATAAACTGTCAGAAGTTCCAGCAAAGACAAACCAGAGTCCGCAGGGCTGCGATGAGGAATCAGAATCTAATGAACTTCTTTGCTTCCTGCAAAGATGTCATCCTTGAGGTCTGACTTTTATCCCTTATGGGAGGGGCAATCCCCTCCCAGCCTTACTCCCGAGTCGCCCCTTCTGCTCCAGCTGCTCTCACACGCACTGGGAACAGGCTCCCTGGGGCCTCCTCCTGCTTCTCTGCTGCCAGACTCCCAACGGCTCTGAAGGTAGCACACCACTCTCAGATAGTCCTGGCCCCATCCTCGCATCGGACACAGGACCCCCGTCCAAGTCCTCGCCGGACTCCCTGACTTGTTCCCTTTCGTCCTCGCTGTCCGTTACCTCAGCCGTCCGCACCGGCTGCCAGTGAGCCACAACAGTCATGAACGCACCATGGCTATGGTCTTGCCATCTCTCAAAGATTGACAAAATAAGTTTTGCTCCTGGAAAAGAACGATTGACTATTCTTTTCTAAGCAGATACGTATTGGCTAAGCTGCCGACATGTCTCTTGATGGCTGGTTGCATAAATGAAGGGCGAGTTAGGCCGACCATCTTCGTTTTGGTCTTCTTAGGAGGAGCTGGGTACAGCCGGACACTTGAGCTTTGCTGCCATGAGTGTCTGCCTGCTAGCAGGAGAGCGCAAAGCCTCCCCGTTTCTCCTTGTAGCAAGGCTGTAGTTGTCAGTGATGTCAGCCCGATGCTTCCCCTCATCCTAAGGACGCAGCTTCTTCCGCCTTTCTCTTTTCAGAGGGGGTCGACGTGATTCCCAACGCCGTGGTGAAGTCGGTATCTTTAGCCGGGGATCGGCTGCTCATAGAGTTGAAGGATGGGAGGAAAGTGAGTAATGCAAAAGAACGCTTGCGTATTTCTCCAGGGTTAGATTGTCCCAAAGGTGCTTTTTTTTATTTTTTATTTTTTTTCAAGAGGCAAAACTGGACTTTCTGGTTTTTTTTTTGTGGAAGACGTTTCGCTTCTCATCGAAAGAAGCTTCTTCAGCTCATTCTTCGGAGCTGCTCGGATGAGAAGCGAAACGTCTTCAAAGAAAAAAAACCAGAAAGTCCAGTTTTGCCTCTTGAAAAAGAAAAAAAAGCACCTTTGGGGCAACTGTGACCTGGGTGGCTGAGGATCTGCATAGACATCTAGGGTTAGATGCCTGTGAATTCCATTTACTGCAAAATTTGTGGAGTTTCCCAGAGGGGGTGTGATGACCCAGAGTGTAACACAAATGTAACAAAATCCAAAGCATAAATAAATGTCCTTTAATGCCTCCAACTTGGCCCCACTGTTCAAATAATTCTCAGCTGGAGATAAAACTTATTTAAAAATAGTCTTCAAAAGAAAGCAGTACAGTCCGAACTCAATGAGCGGATAGAGGTGAAATAAAAAACCAAAACAAACTACAATGAAGGAATTTCCACAACGGACTAGGATAAGTAATTACAAGGCACAGTCTGTTGGAAGGATGCCAACCAAGATAACTTCAGCCCAAAATAAAACATGCTTTGCTTCTGGCAATGCTGTGTTTTAACCGTCTCTCTTATATACTATTCTCCCCAGTTGCAACCAATGAGGGGGATCATGGCCACTTCCTCTCTCGCAAGCCAAGTTGTTTCCTTCTCTGTTCCTCCCTGCATGCCCTAGAAGTGGATCACTTTGCACCGGGCCGCAAAGAAAATATAAAATAAAATGGCGGCTTTCTTCGCCTTCGGTGAATGCTGCTGGGATCAGGGATCAAGGACACAAATGAAAGAAGGGGAGGGAGGAAGCAACCAAAGCCTGTCCTGCTCTCCGGCTCAGCGGCTTCGGTTTCCTCCCGCCTCGTTCCTCTCTCAGTCGCTCTCTCGCTCCTCCACCAGCCCAGGAAGAAACTGCTTCAAAGAAGCCGGCAGGGTGGCTTTTCCTGTCGGCGCAGCTCCCCCGAAGCGCCCGTTCACCCCCACCCCGCCGCCAATCAATCCAGGTTCACAGAGATGGCCCTTTGGCTCTCTTTGTATCCTAAAATCCCCGTTGAAATGCGCAGTGCAAACAGTTGTGTCTGCTTTTTCCTTCCGCTCAGGTGGAGACGGATCACATTGTGGCAGCTGTGGGCTTGGAGCCCAACGTGGAGCTGGCAAAGTCGTCCGGCTTGGAAGTCGATTCCGACTTTGGGGGCTTTAGAGTGAACGCTGAGCTACAGGCCCGCTCCAATATCTGGGTGGTAAGTCTGGATGACCTCACAAAGACCCACAAAGAATCCAACATGTAGATCAGCCATGAGATCTGAGAAGGAGCTTCTCAAATCCCACCATCAAGCTTCAAATAGTCCTCGACTTACGACCCAACAGAGCCTGAAATTTCTGTTGCTAAGGAAGTCGTTAAGTGAGTTTTGCCCCATTTTATGTTTCTTGCCAAAGTTGTCAAGTCAATCACTGCAGCTGTTGAGTTAGTAACACGGTTCTTAAGCGAATCTGGCTTCCCCGTTGTCAGAAGTTGCTGACCCCAGGACAATGCAACCGTCATAAATAGGAGTCAGTGGCCAAGCGGCTGAACTTGTGGCCGCAGGGATGCTGCAAATGGTCGTAAGTGTGAAAAACATGCGTGCAGGTTCCTTTTTTTCCCCAGTGCCGTTGTTAGCTTTGAACGGTCACCGAAGGATCTATTGTAAATCAAGTGCCCCTTTCCTATTTGTCCCCCCTACAAACATGCAAAAAAATAATCCCAAAGTGAAGCCATCCCAGCCAACTGAAAGGCGAGGGTGAAAATGCACCTTATCTCTCTCACCTTCCTCGTTTTGTTATACAGGCAGGAGATGCTGCGTGTTTTTATGACATTAAGTTGGGCCGGAGGCGAGTGGAGCACCACGATCACGCGGTTGTGAGCGGAAGGCTGGCGGGAGAAAACATGACGGGAGCATCAAAGCCGTATTGGCACCAGTCCATGTTTTGGTAACTTTTCATTCCTTTTCCTTCTTTCAGTCCAAGGACTGTTGAGAAAAACGGTGCAAAAGGGGAAATTAGATTACAGGTTACGGATTAACAGAGTTGGAAGGGACCTTGTAGGTCATCTAGTCCAACCCCCCGCCCAAGCAGGAGACCCTACACACCATTTCTGACAGTTGGGAGTCCACTCTCTTCTTGAAAGTCTCAAGTGATGAAGCTCCCACAACTTCTGAAGGCAACTCTGTTCCATGGGTTGATTGCTTCTCACTGTCAGAAAATTCCTCCTTATTTCCAGGTTGAATCTCTCCTTGTTCAGTTTCCATCCATTATTCCTTGTTTGGCCTTCTGGCACTTTGGAAAAGAGTTTGACCCCTTCCTCCTCTCTGTGGCAGACCCTCAAATATTGGAAGACTGCTCTCCTGCCTCCCCTGGTCCTTTTCCTCCCTAGACTAGCCACGCCCAGTCTCCTTTACCTGATGCCTGGCGGCAGGGGAATACTCCATGGAGAGGGAACTAATAATGGCAGAGAGAAGCTACAAAAAATAGGGACTGAAAGAGGCCTGAATCCAGCCAAGGACTGCAGCAAAATAATTCCAGAAAAAAAAAAAATCACCAGTGCTTTCTCTACACACTGGGGAGGCAGCTGGGCAGCAGCTCACAAGTTTGCTGATGCCACCCACCCTCCTGTACCCAGGGTGTGTAGCCCACCTTGTGCTTCCCAATGCACACACAGGCAGCACGGAATAAAATGCAGACCACCTCTGGCCGCAGCTGTTAAAAGGCTGGAAAGAATTCCAGAGGCTGTCCTAAGTGCGTCCTTGTCAGTTTTGTTTCCGAGTATCTCTGCTCCCTGTGGATCTGCCTTGGGTGAAGGCATGCAGGGGGTGAATTCAGTCCGTGGCTGCAGAACGCCCTTGCAAATCCTTCCTAAAATTGCTACCGAGCTGTCATTTGTGACCTGGCAGAAAAGAGAAATGCTAAACATACCAAAAGCATCGTATTAATTATATGTAATCAACTTCATTATACTTTAAAAGGAACGGCTCGCTTGTCAGTGATCTGGAGTTTGGTCCCCAATGGCTTTCTGTCAGTAAAACAATATTTTGAGTATGATTTGTGTCTGCAGAAGGATTTGTTCTTTCGTGGCACCAAAAGAGAACGATGTTCCAGCGTAGGTTCATTTTAAGTCCAAAGGTTCAAAAAAAAAAAAAAAAAAAAGAGAGAGTGAGAGAGATCCCTTTATGTCAATAGCAAGATTCCCAGGATTTCATCATTCCTTTCTAAACTAATCCCGATATTGTGTGCTCTCCTGGCTTCATTTTAGGAGCGACCTAGGCCCAGATGTTGGATACGAAGCTATTGGCCTTGTGGACAGCGGCTTGCCCACCGTGGGGGTGTTTGCTAAAGGGACAGCAAAGGACACTCCAAAATCTGCCACAGAGGAATCAGGTTAACAGTCTGAATTATTCTAGAGGGGTTGTTTTCCATCGTGTGGACCGCTAGGTTACCTGGGTAGGCCATACTGTGGTTTTATTATTTGTGTAAGCCTTCCTCCTTGCATGACCCATAGTTCCAAATCCTAGAATGTAAGGATTTGGGAGTGACCTCATCAGTCATGAGTTCAGCCTCTCCTGTCTGTGCATTGCAGGCAGGTGGGCCTCCAACTTCTGTTGAAACACCCCCAGCAGAGGGGCTACCATCCCCCTAAAGTAATCTGTTCCATTGTGGCAGTTTTTTTCACCATGAGGAATTTTATCCTGGTCTCCAGGCCAACTTCTGCTGCCTTTTTCTTTTTGGTCCTATCTTTTGAAGCTACCGTGAACAATTTTTTGCCATTTGTGAGGCACAAAAAGCCAGATCCGCAGGTGAAGGTCCAGTTAAACTGATTTATTGCTACTTGTGCCTATGCAGTGGAATCTTCTCAACTAACCGTCAGCACCTGCTTGGAGTTAGATAAGGGTCAGTAGAATTCAAGGGGAGGTTGGACTTAATTTGCTTATGACTACATAGAGATTCTAGGCAGAGTCCTTTTTTTAACTCCACCCCCAGGTTTTGCCACTCCTCCTCCCACATTATGATTTCTTATTTGACCTTTAATATACTCCAACATTGCTGTCACCCCCTGGTTTTCTTATCTCCAGACTTGAGTATATCCAAATATCTCAAACATTCTCAGTAGATATTCCTTCCAAAGCCCTTAACAGACTTCAATGCTCCAGTGTGTCAGTGTAATAGCAATCGCACTTAAGACTTCTATACAGCTTCGTGGTGCTTTACAACCCTTTTTTCTAAGTGGTTTACAGTCAGCCTATCGCCCCCAACACAATCTGGGTCCTCATTTTACCCACCTTGGAGGGATGGAAGGCCGAGTCAACCTTGAGACAGTCAAGATCGAACTCCTGGCAGTGGGCAGACGCAATACAGCATTCTAAGCACTGGGAAGAAAGGAAGGGAAGGGAAGGGAAGGGAAGGGAAGGAAGGAAGGAAGGAAGGAGGGAGGGAGGGAGGGAGGAAGGAAAGGAAGGAGGGAAGGATGGAGGGAGGGAGAGAGGAAGGAAGGAAGGAAGGAAGGACGGACAATAGCAATAGCTCTTAAGACTTATATACTGCTTCACAGTGCTTTACAGCCCTCTTTAAGTGGTTTATAGAGTTAGCATCTTGCCCCCCAAAAGCCGGGTCCTCATTTAACTCACCTTGGAAGGATGGAAGGCTGAGTCAAGCTTGAGCCTGGTGAGATTCGAACAGCCAAATTGCAGGCAGCTGGCAAGCGGCAGAAGTAGCCTGCAGTACTGCACTCTAACCACTGCGCCACCATAATGTGGTTAACTTTAGGGCAGGGGTCTCCAACCTTGGCAGCTTT